ATATACATTTCGAAATATTAATTTCAAGTTTTCAATTGACCATAAGATGACCCATATTTTATCAAAATTTTGATGTTTTCGCCATAATTATCAATTATTAACTTCTATTGATATTAGATTCAATATTTGATCATATTTAGTTTTAAAATTAAAAACTAATTATTTAACATCAGTAAAAAGCAAAAAAAAACGTTTTTTGGACTTTTAACCCCAATTATCTCCGCTAATATAGTTGCTAATGCGCTAAAATTTTGTTTAAATCTAATGGGAACATATATAACCAGCCTACGATTTTTTATCGAAATCGAAAGGAGTCGCTGAAAAGTGATTGATTTGACAGATATTACCATATAATTAAGGTTTTTTATATTGCCATTATTATTATAATATGCTATCATAGGATGGAAGTGGCTTGTTTATTATTCCAGTGGAATCATTGAACAGCGTCTTGGATTATAAATCCATAATTTTCAGAGAAATCACAATTTATCATAAATTCATTTTGCTGTAAAATATGTATAAGTTTTGAAATATATGATGATTGATTGGTAGCGATGATAGGAATAAAAAAAATAAAATAAGCTGATAAATTCGTTATTTTCATATAATAACGATAGTAGATCCACAACAATGAAAGGATACATCTCCAAATTATGGCCTTAGGAATTTCTATTAATAAGCGCAAAATTATAATAGTTTGAATATAAAATTTTAAAATATGTTTATTTTACAATATAGCATCAATAAAATAATATCTGTATGGGCTGCCTGCTTACATATCGCACCATGACTTATTCTTGGTTATACTCAATTGATTTTTTTATTTTAATCACAATACTATTCATATTCATATTTTTATTAAAAATTATATATTATAAATTTTTTAATATAACGCCATCTATGTTGCATTTTCTTATTTAAAAATATAATAAAAATTTAAATAAAATTAAAAAAACAAAAATAGCTATCGAGATTTTTTATTAAATCGTTTAATATAGTAATAAAATTTTTTAGTGAATATTAACACCCAAAAAAAATCCCTTCCTAACAATGTTAATTTTTACCGGAAATAAGAAAACACTTGAAATTTTTTAATTTTTTTTAAATTTTCCAACGTAAAATTTTAAGGGCTATTAAATGATATAAATTTGTAACTCTATCTTAAATATTTTTTAAAATAACAAGATTTAATGAAATCACGCACTTCGCGATTTTCGACTTAGAAGGCGTATATCTTTGGATCTGGGTGAGCTAGCACTCTAAAATTTTGATTTTATTAACATTTACAATTACAATAACTAACATGCCAAGTTTCATTCATTTTTGAGATGGTCGGCCGAAAATATCGTTTTTTGGTCGATTTGACGTGGAATCACCCATATGCATTATTATTCACTCTCTAAAATTAAAAGAAGAATAGCAATCCATTCTATAACCTATAAAATCATATATATTATATATTTCATATTTCTTAATTAACACTAAACCATATAATATTCATCCATGAACGACTTATTGTTAATTGAAAATCTCTGTAATTCAGATTTATCACAAGATTAGTCGAATTTTTGACAATTCTTAACAAGACTATCTATTAAAATCACGGAATTATAATCTTGTTATAACTAGTTTAATCAGATATATTCCCATGTTTTCCTTAAAATTAGCTGCACAGATTGAAGGTTGCCCATGTTTATTCCAAAATAGCTTACACTTAGAAAATATAATTTTTGAAATGGTTCTAAAATGGACATCGTTACCCGCCATTTCAATGCCAACACTTGCAATGAGATTTAAAGTTATAATACTATCATTAGTATTTTGATTTTCAAATAGATCAAATTGGCAGAACTCATCCAATTCCTCTCCTTATTCATATACTCTAATAAATTGTTAATAAATATATTATAATTATTTTTATTTGAAAACTTTTATATAATTTCTAGTATTGTCAGTAATACATTTGGTCACTTTATTTTGTATCATATATGTGGTAAAAATTTCAAAGATTATTTTTGCTAGATAATCAAATGTGTGTTTTTGGTATAGCCTTTTACAAGCTAAGCAGGCTAAAACCCTTAGAGTGTCTGGGTGTAGCCAGTGTACTGTAATCCCTAAATAAGAACTTTTTTAAAAGACAATATTACAACCTAAAAAATATATATTTTATATACAGATGACAAGCTGACAAAAATCCACAGTTGTACAGATAATTCTTGGGATACAATATAAATCCACTAATTTCTTTGCCGTTTCATATGCTTTGTTAATTTTTAATATGAGGGTAGGTCGCTGCAATTGATAATATTAATAAATGCAGTGCTTTCTACAATTGAAAATGGTTGTAATTCTTCAATTACAAAATTAAAAACTAATTCATCAACAGCCTATAGTGCTATTTTTAACTTTGATTTAGATGGATTCTGCTTCTCAATGATTGTGAGTGACTTAATTTTTTTATTACTATTCAAATGTTCATTAATCTCTTTCATTTTTGAGGAATGTACCTTCTATAATTTTTTAATTAAAATATTATTAATTCCTAAATTTTTTATTTAAAATAACTTAACTTTTTCAATAATTGAAGATAAATCTTTTAAAAATTTAATTGCATTTTTTAATCCCTTCTAAACTTATTGTCAAGGAAAACATTAAAAATTGAAATTATGATTACCAAAGATGATTTTTCAATTTCTTATCTTTTTCATAATTATCATTTAAATAGGAATCAGGAAATATATCTAGGTTCAGTTCTCTAAAACCAATTGCTTCATAGTTTTATTTCATACATATAATTATTTAAAAATATATATCTAAAAAAGTTTTTTAAAATCACTATTTTCTTTAAATTTATTAATAATTTGAAGTTAAACCAATAGCAATACTAAAACAAGAAATAGAAGATATTGTTTAAACCCAATATGATATTTTGAACCAATACCATTATTTTGTTAATCTTGGGTTTTTAATGTTGGTTCCCAGCCCAAAATATTATGAAAGAAAACTTCTTTTAATGGTTATTTTATAATGCTCATGATTTAATATTCTATTATTAAAGTTTAAAATAATTATATATTAATTTATCTTTTAATCTTCATATGCTTTTTTAAGTTTGAATTGCTGGAAATTAAGGTTGAAATATTTGTGTTGGGACATAATTTACATTTATAAAGTGTATACTTTGTACTGCTGTTGTTAAAAGGTTCGTTTTGAGCCGATTTTTAAAAACAGCTAACTCAATATTTTAGCCAGAAAAATATTACCTAGGCCTCGAGATTTCGCTAATAGATGTCCAAACCTTTATGACATCTATTAACAAAATCTTTAGGCTTGCGTAATATTTTTCTGGATTAAATATTAAGTTAGCCGTTTTTAAAAATCGGCTCAAATCGAGCCGTTTAACAACAGTACTTTGTACTCATAATTTTCTTTTTTGGAATATGCTTCAAATTAGCGAGGGAAGTGTTAAATCATCTTCATTAGAAGAAGTGAGTACTATGTACATAATATTCTTAAAATAAATTATAAAATAGAATAATATTGTAACATTTACTGAATTTTGATTGTGAATATTAATTAGAAAAACATTCGACTGAAAATTGAGTATTTAAAATAAAAATGAAGAAATGGTGGTTGATATGAATTAAAAACACGGCTTAAATTATTTATATTAGAAAATAAATAAAAGTAATTTTTAATACAATAAAATATCTTTCTTTTTTAAATATTTTTTAAGAAAAAAATTTAAAGTAACTAGTAACGTTTTGCGTTACTTTGCATTCTTTTCTTCAAAAAAGGTAACGACGTTACTTTACAGCATTAAAATATAAGGATATACACAAGATAACCCAAACTTTTACTGACTTTCCGCGCATGGATCTTTATTATTAAGTTTTCAAAATATGGGATTGTTCCCCTAGGCTTAAATTTTCTAATAATATTCCAAATTGTTAAAGATTTCTACCAAATTTATCATTTTTAAACTTTTTTATGGAGATAAAATATGAACCTACATCTTAATCTTGACTAATAATGTATCTAAAGCTGTTTTTAAATGTGAGAATTTCATAATAGCTATAAATTGAAATGTTCACTTTAGTACCTACCAATGTTTAAAAAAGGAACTTGATAATATTTTACCTTATATCCTTTGGAAATGAATACTAGGCTTATATTTTAAGGAGTTATATTTTAACATATGAGTTATTTAAATATATATTATGAAATTAAAATTTTATCTATTAATCTAATTTTTTTAAAGTTTTTTATGCTCAAATAAAATCCTAAAATTTTGAAAGTTTATAAATTTAACAAAATATGATCATAAAATTTTCGTTTGCATTTTAGAAAGAAAAAGATATGATGAGGCAGGCCACACCCTTTTAAGTTTAAATCAAAAGAATTATCCAATGACAAAGTTGATGCTTCAAAAATCTAACATTGGTGATTAACGAGTTAAAGCTATATTTAGCTTAAAAAATTAATTATTTAAATATGAATGAGATATAATAAATAGATATTAGACAAATAATTACCCTGATCCATTATATCAATAATAATGATAGAAAACCCAAAAAAATATATAATTGTAATTTGCCCATTTAATGATAACCACTTTCAGAAAGTTTTGTGTATAAAAACAATAGTTATTTTGCTGCGGCACAATAAGGTAATATTGTATTATTTTAAAAATATTTCCTCTATTTTGTGATAAAGTATTGAATGAGTAATTTCATAATTAAGTAATTGAAACTAAATACATTCTGCGTATTTCTAAAAATCATATAGAATAAAAATAATTTGACTATACTTCTTCAATGCCCATGTAAGTTACAAAATAAATTAAGGCCATTTAAAAGATTAACTTTATTTCTACCAATTATCATTTTATTAGAATTAGAAAATAAATATGATCTTTATAATATTCTAAAATGTATTTCGAAACGATTAGGAACACTAATTCTAACCTCAAAAGTTTTTTAAAATTATAATAAATTTAGTCAAAAAGTTGGTACGAAGAAATGAAAAAGAAGGTCGATCTGTTTTTCGACGATTGGGAAGCTGATAAATTAAACATGGACATTAAACGTAGGATGCACGTAATGGCTACTGGTAAGAAATAAATTTTTACATAATATACCCTCCCATAAAGTTTAACTTGTTTTTTTTAAATAATAAACAAAAATTTATAATTAGTAGATGATTTGTTCACTAATTTTGGTAGGATGTAATTTTACAGAGAACACATGCTTAATTATACTCGGAAATTGGAAAAATATTCCAAACATTAATCATGGAATATTTATAGAAATACAAGAATAAAACTAGATATATTTACAGCTTAATATATTAATAAAATTTGAATAAGCTTTTCAAATTCATTTCTTTAATTAGTGTTAGGCATTTCCTAATATAAAATATGATTATTATATGTATAATTTTGTACTGTGATTGGAAATTGGTGGGAAATGTAATTTAAAATTGTAGATTACATTTTCAGCTTATCTGAGAAATAACTTCAGAAAATTTAAAATCTATAAACTCATTATATACCTTTTATGATTAAAATTTATCATTTTTTTGGATTTTGATCATAATTGTTTTTTAAAAATTAAACAATAAAATTCTATAGAAATAAACTTTAAAGAGGTCACTTTTGATTGGAAGGTTTCTTATTTTTTTTATTTCGAAACTTATTACAGCCATGAAAAATTGCGATTTCGATAAAGCCAACGCTACTCACCTTGCCATGGTGCAATTATATCCGTTGCAGGTGATTAAATAAATTTTTTTTTTTGAATTTGATGTAGTGCTGTAAACATTTTTAAAAAAATCGAACGCGTTCAACGTTCATTGACAAAAATCGAACGCGTTCACGTTCAAATTCAAAATCATGAACGCGTTCATACGTTCAAAATTTTATGATAAATTTTTTTTTAAATTTAATATAAATAAATGCCTTATATTTTTCAACACAATATATTAGCCATGATAAAAAATAATAGTTTTATTTTGATAATATAATTATAAATACAATATAATAGAGCGATAAAAAAATAAATTTATAAAAAAATTTTCTTATTAATTTTTAATAATAATTGCTTTTCAAAATTTTCATCTGATAGGCATGAACGCTTGTCAGTTAATACAGCGTTAGCTATACTAAAAACTCGCTCAACAGGGGCGGATGAAGGGATTGCGGTGTTATACTTGATAAACAATTCTTTTAAAAGGGGGAATTTATTAAAAACATTTAATGTTTTATCCATTGTTTCAAAAAATTGAGCTATGTTATCATCCTCCAATCTGCCCTCTTCTTCCTCGTCAAATAAAAAGGATATCTCGGAATTGATTTTAAAACAGTGAAATATTTTTGATATTTGGGCCATGGTAATTCTAATTCATCTAATATTGAATTTTGATTTTCAGAATCTGATGATGAAATATTTATATCCACGCAAATGCTAATCGATTAGATTAAAATATAAAATATTCAAATTAATAAACTTTAATCTTATCCAGTAGCACTGTGGTACGTTAATTGCAATATGAAAAAGGAAAAGTAAAAACAGCTGATTAAAAATATAAGACTTTTTTGTTAAAAAATTGGATTAAATATTAATTTTTCAAATAAATAAAAATATAAGACTTTTTTGTTAAAAAATGCGGATTAATATTAATTTTCCAAATAAATAAAAATAAAAAGTGTTTTTAAAATTGAACGAACGTAAAATTGAACGCGTTCATCAAAGAAAAGGAACGCGTTCACGTTCAAAGTTCGTCAAAAAAAAAGGAACGCCGTTCATCACCTTTTTTCAAAAAAAACGAACTTCGTTTTGAACGCGTTCGTTTACAACACTAATTTGATGAAGTAAGTATATGATGAATTCCATATCAAATCAACAAAAAAAGTCGATTTTCAACCCGACCCCCTTCAATTTTTCTTAAATTTTATATACTGGTAGTATATACTATAACTAAGAAAAAAATGAAATTATACCTTCCAACACTGTTTACCCGCTAAGATATGGCCGTTTAAAGCGCGGAAAAATGCACCTCATTTATTTTCAAATATCTCGATAAATAATTAAGTTAGAAAAATAATTTAAATTTTATTCTGTAACTTAATAAAAGTTCTTTAAAATGACATAAAAATATATATGATAGACATTTGATTAATATCGAAAACCGGATGTGTAAAACCGGAAATGGCCATAAAAAAAGGTAATTTTTTTTCAAAATTTTTTTCTATAGATAGATATCACACTGCTTTATATTTGTACAAAATCCTAGACTGGGTTGAACATGGGTTTAGGAGTTATCACTCTTTATATGGCTATAATTTAACATTAATATCATCATATTTTAATTTAATGAATAGTTATGAAATAATGTTAATTCTAAAATTATGTCTAAATGATAGACCCTTACTTTTTTTTTATAAGAAAAATTTCACAGCCCTTGGAAAAAGGTATATATACTAGTTAATATAAGTGAATAGACATTCCAAATTAGATCATAATTTCAAGATAGTTTATGGCAGAATATTATTTTTACTGGGAGAAATATAGTGATTAAAAAGATATTAACATCTATCTTTCCCAGTTGGAGTTTATTTTTACGGTTAATTAAACTGAAATTAGAATCAAGCATTGGAGAATAGAAGATTGCTTCCGACTATTTACTTTATGATTACCGTAAGCTTTAGCTGAGATATCATACTACGAGTTGATCAAACTCGTTACTATTTCAAGAAAACTATCTGTTTCTACTTTTCTCTGGAGAAAGGCAAATTCTTACTGAATATTTAAATTATAAATAAAAACGAACGCCTGCTACATGATAAGCTAGTCTCTCTCTGGAATTAATAATAAAAAATATTAATGGAGCTAATCATCACGCCAGAGTTAATTAGGGAGAAACCCTTCCAAATGGCCGCAACTATAGAGACCATGGAAACGATAATCATTTTACGAAAGTGAGAAAAGTAATATTAAAAACCGTATTCAGTTGATAATGTTGATCAACTCAAAAGTAATTGTGAAATAAGTAGGGTTCTAAAAAAAATGGTGGCATAGAATTTGTTTATTTTTGACTTATCTATTGTAAGCAGTTATATTGTTCATAAAATTATTCACCTTACGAAAGAGTTTATAGAGAATTTAGGCTTCAATTATTGACGCATTTAGCACATTTACTAAGATAATTGCACTAGATTTTTGTGCCCTAAGAGCATACAACATCTAAAAGATGTACAATATGCAGTACAAGAAAAGACCCCTACCATACACTGAATGCTATTCATGTAAAGTGACATTATGTCTTAAAACTATATTGTTTTGAAATTTACCACATATCATCAACAACTAGTGATTTCAATAAATTACATTTTGACTGATTATATTTTTTATGTGATACGTGATATTAAGCGCACTAGCCCTAAAATGTCATATATATATCAAAGATATATATACAACAGAGCAACGCTTGGTTCTCTCATAAAAACCCATCTAACTGGGATAAAAGAATGGGAAATAATTAAATAAATAAGAGGATCATCCACGTTTTTTGGGTAGTCCACAGTTACCTGTGATCGCAAGAGGCAAAGCCCCTTACTTAAACGCCCATGGGAAAATAAAAAAGAGAGGTAAAAAGCCCATGCCCGATTAAAATAATATTGAGAAGTAAATAATATAACTCGGTTTAAATAAATATAATAACATAATGTTAGGATAATATATTAAAATAAGGTTTAAAACTTACGTTGAGCAACAATAAATCGAATAATCATCCAATGGTGTACAGTATTAGGTTTAGGAATATAACGTAGTAAATTTTGGAATGGGCTTGAAAATGGTACTATTATATTTTTTATTTTATACATCGTTTTTATGCTTATATATGAATAATCATAATAATAAAAAAAACATCTACCTCTTAAATTACAAAGTTGCATATTAAAGGGTAACAAGTTGTAGGATATCAAACCAGTTCAGGACAAAATTTCTAATACGGTTTAGGTTTTGAATGATGGTTAATAATACTGTTTTACGCTTCAGGTTCCAGTTGGATCCCTGAAAAAACAGATAAGATTAGGACAAAACACATGTAAATCAAACCTATATAGCTCTAAATAAAGTAATGAGAAATTTTTATTTCCTTTGAATCGTTATTTAATGAATGTTTTAACCGGATAAAGTATAGTTTAAAAATTATTATTTACTAATAGATAAATTCTTGGTCAATCGGTATCAAGAAATTGATTACGCTGTCCAAAGACAACAAATGACACCCATAAATTGCCAGATAGACTGTCTGTAACACATTGACATTCGTTTTTATATATTATATTGAATCACGTTTAGACATTCCAAAATATCTAGTAATATCTATCAAATGATCACTCGAATTACAACCGAAATTTATAATCGATACTCATAATTTATTTATTGAATATAAATTCCCCATTTCTGCATATATTGATGATATTTTTAATATTATATGATGCCATTGTTAAATAGCAATTTAAGCAATGCTAAAAAATTACAATTTTATCGGATCAAGTAATATTTATTATTTTATAAAGCTGTTAAATTTTCAAATAATAGGCTGACTTTATGTTGTTTGTTGTTACAGATGATTTGTTAATTTTTTCCCCAATCTTTTTAAATTTAGGGCAAATTTATTTATAATTTCTCTTGAATATGCATTATAACATTTTAAATCATTTTTACAATTTATAAATTATTACAGTGATTTGTAAAAAAAAATTAATGGTATTTTCATTTTATAATGATGTAATAAAAGTTCTTTTATTTTTAAACAAAAAATATTATATTGGACTAGTTGTCGAATTAATATTTAATAAAAGACTTTATTGTATCTAGGTTTAGTCTTCAATTAATTATTTTTATATTTTAACGATTATGGCATTGGCGAGATTCCCAACCTGTATGTTTTTAATATTTAAATTATAGAAAAATTGCTAAACATTCCTCTAAAACGTTCGTCTGGAAATGGCCTAAGGCTATATTTTTTTCCAAGACACATTAGCGTTATATTATAATATAAAAACTGGTTTAAATAAAAAAGCGTGATTTTATTTTTATTTTATTTATATTTAAAAAAACAAAATGATTTATGCTAACCTTCCTTTTAACTAGTGTTGTTATGGTTAGTTGTATAAAACCAGACCCGGGGCTTTGGTCTAAAAATCGACTAAACAAGCTCTGAGCACGAACCCCAAGCAAAAACCCATTTATTTTAAGTTGTTTTTTGTAGAACCTAGGAAAGTATGTATATATCTTCAATATAGATATTAATCGATAGCTAATCAAAAGATCTATTCATTAGGAGGACAGGCGTTCCCTCTCGATGGGCAAATCTAGAGTTTGGGTGGTCAAGAACATTTTTATCAACACAAAATAAGTATATCAAATAAAATGTGTTTTAATTATATCTTGACAATCATAATTATTATTCAAAGTGGGCGGGTTTAGGTCTTGTGGGGTCAGGAATATTTTTAACAACATATTGATATAGGCGTCAAATAAATGGTAAGTTAATTATATTTTGATTATAATCATAATTATATTCTAAGTAGGCCGATCTAGGTCTTGAGGAATATTTTTATCAACTCAAAATATTGATATGGGTATCAAATAAAAGGTAATTTTATTATATTGATTGTAAACTTAATTATTATTCCAAATGGACTAAGGGCTGGAATATTTTTATCAACACCATATATCAATATGGGTATCAAATAAAAGGTAATTGAAATATCCTTTCACTTTAAAATTTTTCTTTAAGTAGGAGTATCTAGGAATAATGGGGTCTAGAATTTAAAATAAATTTATGATATTAAATTTATAAAATCAAAAAAAATTTCTTGTTTTACCTCCCCAACCAAGATAATCAAAATGTTTTAAGCATGCACCAACTTGAATATAATTAAATTTAAGATATTAATTATATATATATTAATTAATAGCCGGTTTTTTTTAATATTCTGCCATTTATTACCATACTAGGGTCATTCCATGTCAAATCAATCACTTTTCGGCCGACCCTTTCGATTTCGATAAAAATTCGTAGGCTGGTTATATATGTTCCCATTAGATTATAAACAAAATTTTAGCATTAAAAACTATATTAGCGGAGATATTCGGGGTTAAAGGTCCAAAAAACGTCTTTTTTTGCTTTTTACTGATGTTAAATAATTAGTTTTTAATTTAAAACTAAATATGATCAAATATTGAATCTAATATCAATAGCCAAGTTAATAATTGATGATTATGGCGAAAACATCAAAATTAATTTTTGATAAAATATGGGTCATCTTATGGTCAGTTGAAAACTTGAAATTAATATTTCGAAATGTATATGATCTCCGATTTTTAATTTTTTTAAGAATTATTATCCGTTTACTATTTTTTTAATAATTTATTCGACAATTAGTATGGCTGGGTATTTTATTAAAAAAATATTGCGATTATTATACTTTAAAAAAAATAGATGGCGCTATATATAATAGTTTTAATATGTTAAATTTTTTTTTTTTTATTGATTAAAATATTTTAATGTATATATATATCATACTAAATCGATTACAATGTGCAATATATATATTATTTGTAATTCAGATCATAAATTTTTAAAATCTTCACAAATTTTGGCAGTAGAAGGATTGACCAGCGAGAGAATATGAGATTTAGGCAACACTAAAATATAATTTAAATGAGGCTGAAGGTCCACAAGGGTGTAAAAATCGAATTTTTACTTCTTCATTTGTATAAGTTTTATCGATTATATATCCTAACCACCATTTATCATCATATACACATGTTATATATCCATTAATATTTTAAAATATAATTTTCTCATTTAAAAACGGAACTTGTTTTATATTATATTTTTTGGAATTAGAATATATTTTGGTTTTTAGTTTATTTTGATCAATGGGAATAATCCCGTGAATTTTTTGGGTCCCATGTATGGGCAGTGCAGAATTAAATCTTTTACGAAGGGCTAATTCCTCTTCGATATATTCTTGATTGGATACATATTCAAATTGAATATTAATATTTTCTTTAGCATAATTATATAATTCTAATGGGGTTAGGATTTGATTTTTATTTGGCCTTTGAAGGCTAGCTCTGGCAACTAATCTTTTGACAGTTCCTCCGATACCGTCACATGCATTTTTGCCGTGAGCAGTGACAAAGAAATGCCATTCGGCAGGAATATTAAAATCGTATTTATGAAGGCATATGTTCAGAAAATTTTTGCGATTCTTGTATTGAGACGCGGTTTCATCCGAAAAATATATTATTTTTTCTGGTTTAGAATTAAATTTGGCTGTTAAGAATTTAATGAATTTTTTTTGATAAAGGTGGACTGCACTAGTATTATGGCTTAATGATTCGGACAAAATAACAAAATTTATATTTTTTAATTCTCCAGATTTATAATATGCTACAAATGGATGTATAGTGTACTGGACATTGTTCCAATGAAATCCCTGAACGTTACATCCTACTAACTTTCCCCTATTTGCGGGAAAGTGGATGTAACTGGATGCCTTGGCCTTTATTTCTTTGGCACCGCTAAGGCTTTATTAAATCAAAATTTTGTATATCACAAATATAAAAAGAAAACAATAATGAATATAAACCCGATAGATATAAGTATTTATATAATTTAATAATAGGGATGATTCGTTCTCAGTGTTTGTATTGTTTGTGAATTTTGATTTAATTGAGTGCTAAGTCTGCAGAGGTTATTGATAGTTGGTCCCAATGATAGGATAATGTGGTGTCCATGCTTGGTAGATCGGATAAGATTGATGGGGTGCTAATGGATGATTTTTCTCCAAATAGGGAGGTTTCCTTCTGTTGAAGTGTGATATCTCCGGTAATTATTTGGTCCCCAAATAGATCTAATTGTTCTCTTTGGGCCATCCAGGTGCGAGAAGGTTCGTCAGCGGGATTTTCATCGGATGGTACCCATTGAATGTTTTGCCCAAGGCTGGTAAAGTGTGCGAGCCCTATTTTTAGGAGTATTTGAGTGATTACAATTTCAATAGAAGGCGAGGGAGATCCACCCTTTTTGTAAGAATAGTAGGTACGGTTGAGTCCGTGAATATCATTATCCGGTGCCCGCGGCTAAGCGAAAGGATGGCTCCCATTCCGACTGCCAGTACTTCCTTGGCATTTATGTGTTGTACGGTGTGCATCGGAATATTGAATAATAAGCAAGCCTCGTTGAAGGTAATAGAGTTAACTTCGGTTTCCCAGAAACAGATAGCAATGTGAGTTGGAAGCATCCGTATAGACGGGGGTGTCTGCATAATACCGAAGGGCTAGAGGCTCTTTCATGGCATTGATGATTGCTGCTGCTTTGCGAAAGGCCAAGTAGATGTCCGTAATGGGCGTTAGGGTTGCTCCATTCATGGTTATGTAATATGGGGAGAATAACCGGGACATGCAGGTGATAGTATAGGCATAGTGATTAACCATCCCAGAACTTTGGCCGCCAATTCTCGTCCTAGTTCCAAATGTTGGTAGGAATGGCGGCGGAAAATGTTTAGACATTTCTCGAGTGTTAGTGTCTGCTTGAATGGTCTTAGTAGTTAAGTTAATTGGAATACCCAGGTAAGTAATTTGGTCAGTTGGGTCTAAGACTGATTTCTCTGGTGCAATCTGAAGTCCCCATCCTTCAAGGGTGCAGCGCAGAGACCTGGTGGACCATTTGACGTTAAATTTATTGTCCCCATAGATGAGAATGCCATCGAGATATACGTTATAGGAGGCGTTTCTAACTGTTTTGGCGCAAGCATCTAATATTATGGACTGAAGGCAGAATGGGCTAAACGATGCCCCCATAGGTAGAACTTTATATGCATAGTTAGCATTGTCAAAGCGAACTCCAAAGAAGCGAACGCTGGAGGCTAAGGGAATAGAGAAGAAAGCCGAGCGGATATCGATTTTGCAGGCATACTTGGCCTGATCCAACTTAGTTGACATCAGAGGGATTGATTTCAGCCTGAAGGGGTAGTGTAGAAAGTTCTTTAACACTTGCGCGAAGTCACTGATAACGCGAGGGGATCCGTCTGATTTAGGAATTACGTATAGGGGAGAGCAAATTTGCGAAGGATCATCGGAGGGTTCGATGATTTCTGCGTCCAGCAAATGACGAATAATGTCACGATATTTTCTATGGACGCCCACTGGACCACTGTGCCTGAAGAAGGTGTTATTATTATTGTTGATTTTTAGGTGGTCCAGTCTAGGTTGAAAACCGCGTCTAGCTACCCTTTTTGTAAAATTGGACATGAGAGGTCCTATGGTGAGCCTAGCTGTGCTGATATTCAGCGTGGGAAGGGCCTCAAGCTGTGCGTTTGTGAAGATGCCGCGATTGCCTGGTCGATTGATGCCGGTAAGATCGAGGGCTGCTACGGATCTTACCTGGGGCATACCAGGATCATCAGTACTGTAAATGCTATCGTCTAGTTCCTCGATGATGGACATAGCCGAGTCGTCGCTTCCTGAGTTGCTAGAGGGAAGGGAAGCGGTTGGAGAAGGGATCCACCATTCCTGAATCCTCTGACAAGAATGACGGTGTGTCAGACTCGTCGGCAACGCTAGCAGTCTGACGGATCAACGGGGGAGGTTGATTATTGTTTTCCGATACGTCAGTACCCGA